TAGAATGGTATCAGGTTTCCTAGAATGTTGAAAAATTAAGTGTGATGCTTTTTTACGCACCTCGTTAAATTCATGAGAGCTGTTGGTGCCGTGTGAAACTAAAAATGCGTGGGCTTACCTAGTATGTCGACACCGAAAAAATTCTTTATTTTTTCACACTCTAAGGTAATCGATAAAGCAAGACTGCTTGGGAAGCAGAGCTCCTTGTATTCGTGACAAATTGGTAGTATGAAACACGAGACACGCATGGAAGTGTGCGGAACATCGAGAGGCTTTTACTCTACACTAATAAAACAAAAGAAAACGTCACTCCTGCATTGCTTACAACAATCTTAGGTAAAAGCAATCGCTCGCGACTGGCCGCGGCCAGCTATAGGCTTGGCGTGCGCATGCGCGTGAGCCAGACCCCCGTGATTGAGGAGAAACTTGAACGCTGAAGGAGGAACGTTGCTCCTTTGGCCCTTGCCGCGAGAGGGCGCGACGGGTAAAGCGCCCGAAAGGGTGGAAGTAGCTGCGCCGAAGGAGGAACGGAGCCCGTTTCTCCACTCTCGCTCCCTTTTTTTTAGAGTGCGTGCGTTGCAACTCGCATAGACTCCAGCGCCAGAGTTCCCTATAGTGTATATTAGGAAACTCTATGCGTTCTGCTGCCTGGGCGCAACTGTTCCCAGACTTAAAGTGGGGATTTCGCTACCTCTACCGGCTCAAGGCTTACCGAAACCACGCTTCCGCTCTAAATGAATGTATTTTGCTGTAATGTCAATTGATAAAAAAGAATAATTAAGAAAAGCTTTCATTTGTTTTACAAAGATGGACATTTCTTGACCACAATTACGAATACTCTCGTTATCAGGCGCTTTTGTCGGCCCATACAGTCCATTCAAGTGAAGGGAGCATTTCCTGGCCTCCCTTGGCGAAGGAAGTGTGGAGGAGTGTTCATGAAACGCAGTGGCTCCTTGAGTGGAGGAGCACGCTCCGCCATGAGTTCGTCAATTCAAGGGGAAACCTTGAGTTAAGGAGCGTTTGTGCATACGGGGGTGAATGTTAAAAAAAACTTTCAGTCATTTTTGGAAATAACTTGGAGCTGTTAGGCTCGTCCTTCACATTTTGTTAAATGTTGTACGTTGTGCATAGCTGTTACATGATACACTGTTTTAATTCAAGAATAGAAAAAAAAACGACAGCAGAAGTTGATTAGCATCAATTTTATTTATTGATGCAATAGTTTGACTTCGACTAGATGGCATTCTTTCAGCATTGTGAAGATGCAGTAAATATGGAAGTGGATCGTCAAGCCATCTATAATCGATATAGCACTCGCCAAATAAATTTCAGTCGTAGTTAAAGCAAAAAACAACAAAAACACGGAGTCACTTTCTACTCACAGACGATTGCGAATGTCTGATTACAGAAGCAGTAGCAAACACACAAGTTGGTGCCCTGTTCTGTGTGCTGTACAGCTGGTGTTGCAGGGAGTCACTAAAGAATTAAGTATGTCCAGAAGTAAGGTTAGCCTCCGGAAATGAGTACAGAAAAAGTTTCTTGTCAGTCACACTGGATTCGTTCACACTGTGTTAGAAACTCGAGAACGCCAGACAAAGCACGAAAAAAATAACGAGGCTGTCGCATTGGCACAACGTCACACTCGCTCAACCGTACTGTATTTGCTTAACGAAATAGCTATACACATGTAAAATCGCACGTACACAGGATGTCATTTGACACGGGCTGTCTTACCGAGCTCATCCTGTCTGTGCACATACTATGTCATTAGAAATAGCTGGGTGTCGAGCGTATGCTCAGTTCTTTCACCATCTTTTTGTATTGAATGTCAGGGACTTCTGTGTGCGGACAAACATTGCAGGGCATACCATTTCCATGCAGGCGCGTCTGAATGTCTTCTAAAGCTATCCATCCTTTCTCGTTCGATCCGTACTGCTTCGTTTTTTTTTGTATTCCTTTGGCTGGTTCGCCGTAATTCAGTTATGGAGCTTCTTTTTTTCGAAACACCGCGTATTCGCGATTTGTGAGGTCTTGTAGCCATGACACAGTTGGCGTCTTTCAGAGCATTGTTATACTCTTGCCTGTGTAGCGATGCGCCATCTCGATTTGTGGTATTTGTCAGAAGTGGAGGAGGTTCTTGCTTTCGATTCTTCATGGGCGTTTGTGATCGCATAGGAATGTTTCTTGCGATTTCGTCGACTTAAGCGGATGGTGCGTATGGCCCACAGATTGGTCAATGTTGGAGATATTTCTCATCATGCGAAGTCTTATGTTCAGAAACGTTTGGGATCGTGGTGTATCTGTTCAAGTTGTCTATTTTTTTCCATGCTGCAACTATCACTCACATGTGCGCTATGCTCAAGCAGGCGCTACAAACAACAGTCTTCTTCGCTATTGGCACAATATATTTACCGAAAGCCACCAGTGAGGCATGAATGCGTCAATGATAAAGCTATCACACGTTTCGTTACAGATAACATATCAATATTTCAAACTTTAGAGGTAAATGCATTATTCAGGCGTCTATTCTGCTGTCAAAAGACCAAGATCATTTTGTAGTAATCGCGCACGTAAGTGAAGTCTTTTTCGAGAACCTGCACTTAGATTTAAAGCAATTAAGAAATGGTGTCAATATTTCCCAAATACGATTATAACTGTGTACACCTTGCGTTGATCGTCGCTGTTTGTGTGCGAACGTTATACACTTAAAAGAAATGTAAGTATACACCATAATTTACGGAAAAAAATTGGCCCTGTGTCTGCATGTCAATTTGCAAATCTCGTTCAGGATGATAGTATTGCGTCTATGGAGAGTAAATAAAACGTTTATTTGATGTTCTGCGCAAGAAAATTGGTGAATGGTATTCTGGAGGCGCTTCGTTAGGGTGCCTCGAGCGTGCAGCGGAGGCGAACGAGCGCCAACCACGTCACACGCGAGACATGAGCGCTATGTGTCAGTTACCTTGGAAAACGAAGCGTGCGGCTCGAAGCCGAGCATGCGCACCCGTCTCAGAGGTGATAAGGTGTATATCGCAAGGCGACGGGTAGCTGCCACCGCCGTGTCGTCTTAGCGGTGGAAACAATTGCCTTTTCTGGCAAGCATTGCATGGTCAGCGCGGGGTGATAAACGCTGTGGTCCTTAGAATTACTTATGAATGCCTTTTCTAGTAAGAAGACACACATACTGGAATGGTATGAAGCGTTTGTGTTCTGTATATGCTGTAAATAAACTTTTTCTAAACAAACAAACAAATGGACAGACAGACCAGAATTTTTGCGTCGAAGATCCCCAAGAAAGACGATCGTCTTTAAAGAGACAAACACTAGGAGAGCACTATTTTTACTGACTTGGTGAGTGGTGACTGTGGTGGCTGCTCTTTTATTTTAAACTGTTGTGTGATCCGAACATTCACATTTGAACGCGAAGTGTTTCTTATTGAACTTCGGTGACTTTAAGCGTATCTATCTGTCTATCTAACTGCTTATTTTTGGGTGCTCTAGTGGTCACCCCCTTAACTTGGCGTCATCCAAAATAAGCATGGGAGCATAAGATGATTTGACGAAAATGACGCGCTGGTCAAGATATGAATAATATCACAATCCCGTCGCATACGTTGTCAAGAGCTTCCCGCTGGACAGTGGCACAAACCCATGGGGGGGAGGGGGGGTATGTGCTGCTGGTATGCGGGTGTGTGCCTCACGTGATTGACACATAGAATGTACTCAGGACTGACAAAGACCTTTTTATTGCGACAAATACTTGCCTTTAAGGCATAATACTTTTGTTAAATGCGTGCTGTTAGGCTGGTGTTGTGTATGAAGTGAAGTAGTGTCTTGTGGAATCTGTTTTCATACACACATGGGCAATTTCAACGCGCGAGCGTTATGAAGTGCCCGACATAAGTACCGTTGACCGGACGAATGCAAATAATAAATGTCAGGGTCCAAGCTGGAATTGAACCCAAGCATTCTGAATAGCAATGAAGCATTTTACCACAGAGCTATGACAATTCTCGGAAATACTTCTCCAATAGACGCTAATCTTCGTGAAACGTCAATAGTGGTTGTAGTGCTGCCTACTCAGATTTATTAACATTGCTTATGTACTCCTTTGATACAGTCGTCACGTCGGGCTAACTTTCCTTGTGGTTAGTTGGTGCGCGCTGTAGTTGATTTATGTAGCGGTGTTCAGGGCCAGCATCCTCGCGAGCGTCTGCACTTCATATCAGCTACTAGTATTGCTAATACGCATGTTCCAGCTGGCATCGTTGCGCAGGTGACAACAACTGGTTATGTAAACATCTGCCACTCTTCAACATATGTATGTGCTTTCAAAATTTCTACATATGTTTAGCGACACTTCATGATGTGTCGCTCAACAAAAAATGGCAACATGGTCACCTTCTCTACACATGCTTCGCATAACGTTGATTTCCAAGGTATATGGGATCTGCCGAATCCATTTTTTTTTGTCAGGAAAAACAGTCGAGTTCCTTCGAATGGCCTAGTACATCAATGTCTACTCTTGCATTTCTAAAAGGAGCTTTGAGCATAGAAGCGTGATTCAATAAAATATTTTCAGTTAATCTAATATGCGTTAACAATATTTATTTATGCGTAACAGTAATGCAGTATATACCCTGCTGTGTGTATGAGCATGCCACTTATGCGTTGCCTTACTCCTTTGGGTCCCTGTTTCTTACTGTTTTCACATTCTAAGTAGCGTACAAAATAATTTTGAGCCTAGACAGTGCACCTAAATAAATTGAACCATGTTGCGAAGTTCAAAGATTGCCACGGCTAATGCACCAAAAGCTTTCAAGAAAATCAACGAGGCTTCTCTGTCTGTGAAAGGCCATAAAATATAAAACAGGGCCGCTGCTCTCTACCATTATCACTCAGCTGAGTGAGTTCTTAAGCAGCCAGCTTATTTGGTTCTGTACTAATTTTTCTTTGTTCTGTTTTCTTTCTCGACCTTTCTGTTTTGCACGCTGGAAAAGATGCGAAAGTGGATACTGTGCTGAGTTGCCTGCCAACATGGGACGGCCTCTCGTGCTGGCCTCGTACGCCAGCCGCTCACACAGCATCCATTCCATGCTTCGCCACTCTTAATGGAGTCCACTACGACACAACCCGTGAGTATGGCGGAGCCAGCGTAGCTTTTTTGGTAATATCAGGCTCACGTGCGTAGTTATCCATAAGGATGACACAATACATTTCAGTATTACTGATCGTGTTTACTGACGGAAACTCGTCACCTGCCTTGTAAAGGAGAACTTGTACTAGTCAGTACAGAACCTTATTATTATAAGCCTAATTTGTTTAACAAAAGGCTCATGATGCTGCTTTATAAAAGCTCTTTGAAGCACCGAGTGGCCTTACAGGATTCGATTGTGCTGCGAGAAGAAAGGAAAAAAAATCAAACGTTATTTGTGATCCTCACACACGTTTAACCAGATGGTTAAACTTGTATGAGCCTTGCGAGGTAACGTTGAGTTTTGTCGCGTACATTGCCGGCCGAAAAAATTTCCTTCGCTCGCTCGCTTGCTCGCTCGCTCACTCACTCACTCTCACTCAAACATACAAATATACAAATAAAAAGAATTTAGAGCTGAATTGATAGATCCTTATGTGCCTAAGTGATTTAGGTCATCTGCCAGCGAGCGAGTTGAATGTCAGTCGAGCGTCAGAAATGGTCGATGTTCAGGGAAGAACGGTCTGCGTCTTCTAAATACGCTGCTCTGTCTTGTGGGCTTTGTTCAAAATACCTTGTTATGGCCGGCTTGCATGGTGCGGTGTCGCGCATCTCTCATGCTGTCCTCTTATTTGACCACGCAGAAAACGCGTCACGCTTGTGCTCGATCGCGGGCGTCTGGGCCAGCAAATCGGATTACTCCCATTGCGTTCCACTCTTCGAAGTTGAAAGGCCGGTGAGTGCAAAGCAGCGGCTTAATCGCTTGTCGTCTTTTGTGTGTAAGTGCTGTGAATGTTTTTTCTACCCAGTTCAAGTTCAGAACTGACCTATGCCATCATCCTTCCTTAATTAAGGTTTACTGCAACGGGTTTCCTTCTTTAAATGACGACGAAACTCTTCCGCGTAGGAGTTAAGCAAATAAAGAACTACCTAAATAATTAGCCAGAAGTTTCACGTTCACCTTTTTCCTGGTGCCCGCACTGAAGGAACGGGGAATTGTATAAGCACACTAACTTGAATTTCGGCAATGCGTACGGATCTTTATTAACACTGGTAAATTATACTTAGGTATTGTGTCTTGACTATTGATAATTAAACAGAAAAATATACATTTGTGATTCATAGTGTACATTTTATAAATATCTGCCAAACAAGAACAAAAGTGTATTTCACTTAACACTACTATAACCTACTAATTTACCACAATTCAACATAACAGCATATGGTCCTAATTACTCTACCGAGGATCTGCTATTTTCTTCACCACTTCGATAAAAAGGTACCAGAAAGCGACACGTTAATGGAAAACGCACGTGATTGCATCACGTGCGCTTTCGTCTTACGTGCGCTTTCGAGCGTCGCGAGTTACTGAGTGTACAAAAAAGCTCTTGTCCACCTTCAGAGGCACTGCCTCTGGATAACATGCAAGACAGGGCTCAATGAAAGTTCCGGCACCTTGAAGTTGAAAGTTCCGGCTCTTTTATGACCTCGCTCTCTAACAGTAAAATGAACACCGACCATTAGGATCTCTAGTACAATGGCTTGCACACACTAGGAGTTTGAAAAAAATAAATATGTTCAGTCTCACTTGCCCGCAACATAACAAAAGAGAACTGCCAACGTTGCCCTCTGTTGAAGTGGAGTCTAGAGGTTGTGCTGAGACTGAATAACACGTTGAGAAATGAAGCAAGTTTAGTGTTCTTTTCACACTGCCAATGTTTACGGAACGCTTAATAAATGTGGCTCTTTTGAAGGAACACTCAGTAAAAAAAACTCAGTAATGAGTCAAAAACTTAGCTGGACTTGAATGGGAACAAGATAGACACGAAATGAAAAATGCCTGTGTTTTAGTTTGCGCGCATATGATTTAATGAATATTTACAACGAAACCAGCCTGCAAATATCTAATAAGAATTTGCCGCGTTTTGTGCCCCTGGGAAACTCTTGCTAATATAAGAAACCAGAGTGTTAGTAATTCGCTTGAGTCACTTTAACCAATGTGCAATCAGAGGATGTGAGGTGATATGCATAAACAACAGGCGCTTATTGGGTGGCGGGACCGCTGTATATTGTCACGAAGTAAGTGTCCGTTCGAAGAGACTGTTTTAAAGTGAACTGCATTTAGATAGTGATATCAGCGGAGCAAGTACACTCGACAGAAAGCTCTAGAAAGAAGGCACAGAGAGATTTGCTTAGTTCAGGACATTTGGCTCATAAAGTGTAATAATTTCATAACAATACTAGTTATATCTATATATGGCTTATAAGAATCACATTCTTCACATTGCAAATTTTGTTGTGTGAAAATTGTATAAAACTGAGACATAATCTTACATTTGACGCATTAGTAAAAAAAAACATGTCTACCTCGTTGAAATTATGATTATAAAAGAGCGTTTAAGAAGCTCAGTTTGACATTGATGCTGAAGTTACATTAACTTCAAAATCCGGGATCTGTGTTTTATTTCTGAAGGAGGTCAACAACCCAATATTGCGATTTTTTCAAGGAAGAGGAAAAAGAAAGTTTAAGTAGAAAGACAGGGTGGTTCGCCAATTTTTAGACCGGCTGGCTACCCTGTGCTGGGGAAGAAGGGAGTGAGGGGAATAAAAGATGTTAAAAAGAAATGTTGCGAACAATAAGAGAAATTACAAAAAAATGCGACAGAGGAAAGGCAACATCAAAGAGTATAAGACACTAAAGTCTGTCTCTCTTTGCAGCTAAGCTTTCATAGCCTTCCGGGCTCAGGATGGGCTCGGCCAATGATCCAGAATCCTTTGTTCCGACAAAGGCGATTTTTCGAAATGTCAGTTAGGCGAATGATCGTTCCAATCTGGGTGAGAGTCTGCTGAACATGGAATTCCGAGAATGAAAGCTGTTGTCGACAGAATGCAGCAGCGTAGTGGTTGACAGGGCGTGGGCAGCCGACTTGGTGTTTCATAATAAATAGGCCATTTGCACTGGTAAAGTACCCGCTTTCCGCCCAGATCCAGTTTTGCTATGTCAAAACGTCCAGATGCGGTTGCATGGCAGGAACAACCGGATGCTTGGAGACTGAACAGAGCACAAACGGTGCTTTAAAACTTTCCGCATATTTTGTAGTCTAAGCACTGTTTTCTTTTTCACCTCTTCATAATTACGACCCTCCTTTCACTATATTTGAGCAGTACGGACGAGTTCATGGGGCAGCTTATATCTTGTTGTGACGTCTCGGTTGCATTGGCCAGCTGCCACGTTTCGAGAAAAGCGCGGGCAGCACTGTCAAAGTGCACCTATACATATGGAATAAGAATTTGTAAGCAGGCGTTCAGTGCTGGCGCCGATGTTTTGGCCAGTGTACTTGTCTTTTTCAAAGTCAAAAATTATTTCAAGGCTGCCTTGAAATCACTCCCTCCATCGCCCACCCCCTGTTTACAAATTTCACATGGGAAGCGACCATCTTCCTCTTGTTGCCTTTCTTCTTTTTATAAGATATGTGACTCTACCAAACACCAAAGTCTCTGGTTTCTCAATCTTTGTAAGTCCTCTACACATCAGATCTCACAGACTGGAATGTAAGATAAGGCTGTGCTCTTTCATACGCTTGCATATAGACCGTCAGCCTTACGTTCGGGACACTGCCCACCAGGACCAGGAAAAGTACACAAACGGCGTTTTTTCGGCGTTGTAAATAGCGCAACTGGGTCAATGTTTACCACCATTCAGAGCCGGCTGGGTAGTAGCTATATATCGTGTTTACAGCAGCGAGCTCATATTTACATAGTATTATGGTCCATATACACTATGGCAGCTTAAGGACGTAAGCAGCCATACTGGCGCCTGCTCTTTTTTGGGAGACCGTTTCCCCAGCTCCAGCTCAGTGCATAGAGCATAACGCGAATATTGCGTTGGTGCATAGCCGCTGTTGCCGCAAAAGGCAAGCAGTTTTTTATCTGCTATAATTTTTATTTCATAATTACTACGTTTAATATCAGTACAAGGAATACCACCCCGGTGTGTAGCTTTACTTGGCTTTAATATCTAGTTGCATCAAGGTGCCTTTAAAGAAAAAGGGGCGCATCAATTCACCCTTCCTTCCTGTAATCGAGCATGTATGTATGTATGTATGTATGTATGTATGTATGTATGTATGTATGTATGTATGTAAATATGTATGTATGTATGTATGTATGCATGTATGTATGTACTTACGTACGTATGTATGTATGTATGTATGTATGTATGTACGTATGCATGTATGTATGTACTTACGTACGTATGTATGTATGTATGTATGTATGTATGTACGTATGCATGTATGTATGTACTTACGTACGTATGTATGTATGTATGTACGTATGTATGTATATGTGTATGTATGTATGTATGTATGTATGTATGTATGTATGTATGTATGTATGTATGTATGTATGTATGTATATGTATGTATGTATGTAAATATGTATGTATGTATGTATGTATGCATGTATGTATGTACTTACGTACGTATGTATGTATGTATGTAGGTATGTATGTATGTATGTATGTATGTATGTATGTATTACGTACGTATGTATGTATGTATATGTATGTATGTATGTACGTATGCATGTATGTATGTACTTACGTACGTATGTATGTATGTATGTACGTATGTATGTATATGTGTGTATGTATGTAGTATGTATGTATGTATGTATGTATTGTATGTATGTATGTATGTATGTTATGTATGTATGTATGTATGTAAATATGTATGTATGTATGTACGTATGCATGTATGTATGTATGTACTTACGTACGTATGTATGTATGTATGTATGTATGTATGTATGTACGTATGCATGTATGTATGTACTTACGTACGTATGTATGTATGTATGTATATGTATGTATGTATATGTGTATGTATGTATGTATGTATGTATATGTGTGTATGTATGTATGTATGTATGTATGTATGTATGTATGTATGTATGTATGGTATGTATGTATGTATGTATGTATGATGTATGTATGTATGCATGTATGTATGTATGTACTACGTACGTATGTATGTATGTATGTATGTATGTATATGTGTGTATGTATGTATGTATGTATGTATGTACGTATGTATGTATGTATATGTATGTATGTATGTATGTATGTATGTACGTATGCATGTATGTATGTACTTACGTACGTATGTATGTGTATGTACGTATGTATGTATGTATATGTGTATGTATTATGTATGTATGTATGTATTATGTGTATGTATGTATGATGTATGTATGTATGTATGTATGTAATATGTATGTATGTATGTACGTATGCATGTATGTATGTACTTACGTACGTATGTATGTATGATGTATGTATGTATGTACGTATGCATGTATGTATGTACTTACGTACGTATGTAGTATGTATGTATGTATGTATGTACGTATGCATGTATGTATGTACTTACGTACGTATGTATGTATGTATGTACGTATGTATGTATATGTATGTATGTATGATGTATGTATGTATGTATGTATGTATGTATGTATGTATGTATGTATGTATGTATGTATGTAAATATGTATGTATGTATGTACGTATGCATGTATGTATGTACTTACGTACGTATGTATGTATGTATGTACGTATGTATGTATATGTATGTATGTATGTGTGTGTATGTATGTATGTATGTATCGCGAAAACTTGTCAATGCGATCATCTTCGCATCGCCCTCCAAATCGACAGCATGGCTTCACTTGACTCGGGACACCCAACCTTCACGCAATAAAAGGAACGCCTGTGCTCCTATGGCACCTACGGCATAATTGGTCCTCTTGCGAGTTCTCCGAATTCACACTAAACGAAAGGTTGTTGTCCATAATCATAATTTTCATGCCAATATGCTTTGTAACTGGCCGACCTTTAAACGAACCACTCGTTGTGCAAATCACAAGTGTTGACGCTTGGTAAACTTTTACGCCATAGCCGCACAGTATTAGATGCGTTTGCCTGTGAACAACTGCCTGTCACATAGAAGTGCGGAGTTCGATTCCAGCTGGCGCCAATTTTTTATGCTTTTTAACGACTATTTTGAAAGAAATGCTGACTGACGACGCTGATGTCGAAATCGGAACCAAGGACGTCGACGCTGTCACCAAAGCTAATGCCGGAATTTCGGCGGAACGAGCCCTTTAGTGCTATCGGGTTGAGTGCAGGGTTAATGCTTAATGTTTGAGATATGGCCAGTTCACGGGATCTATCGTAAGTGAGATATTATCTGCCTTTACCCTTCAAATGAGTGTGAGTTTGGTTAGAACACAGCGAAAAAGAAAATAGACACAAATATAACAGAATTGAATTTCAGAATAGTTACGTTTTATAAGAGGGTAACACAGAAGGGTAACACATAGGGTAACACGTCTCAGCATACGGCTCCTCACTTATAAAACACTGCTTCCTCCAATATTGGCATATGCATCTGTTGTGTGGAACCCACAAAAAATTTCGGACATCAACAGAATAGAATCAGTTCAGAAGAAAGCTGTACGCTTCATTTATCGTCGCTTTGACAGGTATTTTTCACCAAGTTCCAATCTTCCTATCTTACAGCTTACCAGTCTATCTTCCCGTCGACACGTTTAATGTTTGAAGTTTCTTTATACCTTAATTAATAGCCCACTGTTCCCTCTACTCAGCAAATATATAGCACACGCTAGACCAACGACCACACAAAATTACCATGAGTTAAACATGTATACTTTCGCTCATCGTACGATGGCGTTTGAATATAGTTTTTTTGTTAATTTTATTGAATTGTGGAATTCTTTGCCTGGTGACGTTTGATCTTTATCACTGGATGAATATTTATTGCATATTACTAAACATTGATGTAGAGCGCACTTGTTATGCTCTTCTATGTATGTATTTGCCTACTCCTGCGATAGCCCTGCGGGGCTGCAGTATGTTACAAATAAATAAATAAATAAATAAATAAATAAATAAATAAATAAATAAATAAATAAATAAATAAATAAATAAATAAATAAATAAATAAATAAATAAATAAATAAATAAATAACCTTCACTTACACTTCTGCTATTTAAGCTAATGCTTTATGCCATATCGGATCAAAATACTTCCAGAAAATGATTCCATAGAGGATGCCTCACCCATATAGTTACTTATAAATGCACTAGCGAGAAGCCTGGTGCCAGTGTATACGGAAGCTGCAACGCATGGTGCTTCAGTGATCATGGCAATGATGGGTAGTACACGGATTTGTCTTTTCTTCGTACTTCTGGCTCAGTTTGTTCGCGTGGCTTGAAGCTGTTTTGTCACAAAAAAAAAACAGCAATTATTAGGCACTTCCGCTTCACCACCCGAATCTTTCAGGCTTACAATTTAAAATGGAGTCACGAAGTTAACAACGGTCAGTTCTAGCCTTTGAAACAAAACTAATACACAGGAATAAATGAAGCCACAAGTGGGATTCAAGTTCCGCAATTAAGAAGACTAAAGAAACGCGTGTACTATGCCCATCATTCTCATGGTCACTGAATGACCGCTGCAACAGTCTCCTATTTTAATTTTAGGAAACTCGTTGTGCAAATCACAAGTGTTGACGCTTGGTAAACTTTTACGCCATAGCCGCACAGTATTAGATGCGTTTGCCTGTGAACAACTGCCTGTCACATAGAAGTGCGGAGTTCGATTCCAGCTGGCGCCAATTTTTTATGCTTTTTAACGACTATTTTGAAAGAAATGCTGACTGACGACGCTGATGTCGAAATCGGAACCAAGGACGTCGACGCTGTCACCAAAGCTAATGCCGGAATTTCGGCGGAACGAGCCCTTTAGTGCTATCGGGTTGAGTGCAGGGTTAATGCTTAATGTTTGAGATATGGCCAGTTCACGGGATCTATCGTAAGTGAGATATTATCTGCCTTTACCATTCAAATGAGTGTGAGTTTGGTTAGAACACAGCGAAAAAGAAAATAGACACAAATATAACAGAATTGAATTTCAGAATAGTTACGTTTTATAAGAGGGTAACACAGAAGGGTAACACATAGGGTAACACGTCTCAGCATACGGCTCCTCACTTATAAAACACTGCTTCCTCCAATATTGGCATATGCATCTGTTGTGTGGAACCCACAAAAAATTTCGGACATCAACAGAATAGAATCAGTTCAGAAGAAAGCTGTACGCTTCATTTATCGTCGCTTTGACAGGTATTTTTCACCAAGTTCCAATCTTCCTATCTTACAGCTTACCAGTCTATCTTCCCGTCGACACGTTTAATGTTTGAAGTTTCTTTATACCTTAATTAATAGCCCACTGTTCCCTCTACTCAGCAAATATATAGCACACGCTAGACCAACGACCACACAAAATTACCATGAGTTAAACATGTATACTTTCGCTCATCGTACGATGGCGTTTGAATATAGTTTTTTTGTTAATTTTATTGAATTGTGGAATTCTTTGCCTGGTGACGTTTGATCTTTATCACTGGATGAATATTTATTGCATATTACTAAACATTGATGTAGAGCGCACTTGTTATGCTCTTCTATGTATGTATTTGCCTACTCCTGCGATAGCCCTGCGGGGCTGCAGTATGTTACAAATAAATAAATAAATAAATAAATAAATAAATAAATAAATAAATAAATAAATAAATAAATAAATAAGTAAATAAATAAATAAACAAATAAATAAATAAATAAATAAATAACCTTCACTTACACTTCTGCTATTTAAGCTAATGCTTTATGCCATATCGGATCAAAATACTTCCAGAAAATGATTCCATAGAGGATGCCTCACCCATATAGTTACTTATAAATGCACTAGCGAGAAGCCTGGTGCCAGTGTATATGGAAGCTGCAACGCATGGTGCTTCAGTGATCATGGCAATGATGGGTAGTACACGGATTTGTCTTTTCTTCGTACTTCTGGCTCAGTTTGTTCGCGTGGCTTGAAGCTGTTTTGTCACAAAAAAAAAAACAGCAATTATTAGGCACTTCCGCTTCACCACCCGAATCTTTCAGGCTTACAATTTAAAATGGAGTCACGAAGTTAACAACGGTCAGTTCTAGCCTTTGAAACAAAACTAATACACAGGAATAAATGAAGCCACAAGTGGGATTCAAGTTCCGCAATTAAGAAGACTAAAGAAACGCGTGTACTATGCCCATCATTCTCATGGTCACTGAATGACCGCTGCAACAGTCTCCTATTTTAATTTTAGGAAACTCGATGGCCTCACTTGCCCTTTTCACTCCAGATAGACGGAACTACTCTGTACTACATCGGCTACGGTATGTCTTTGTGTGCCCTCAGCATCGCCTTGTGGATCTTCCTTTACTACAAGTGAGTATAGCTCATATACACCGCAGTAAAAATAAATTATAATTCCAGTTGAAGAAGAAAATAAATAGTTTCAAAGACAGAGAAAAACAAGTCTGGCTTGTGAGTTGAGCAAAAAATAATACATTGTGGTTGGTCGAAGTATTAAACTCTTCGAGGCGCTCACATAGATTGCTGAAGCGATGTTTCTGGCAAACATCACACACATTAGCATTCCCTCTGTTCGTGTCTCACGAAGTTGTTTTCCTAAGTGCATTTTAACAGACAACAATTTTAAGCTTTGAAAGCTGGTAACTTTCACGATATATATGTCATGTTGAATTGGAAGTCAGATAAAGGGCAACGTGTCAAGTTCACGAAGCCGCAGTTCGAGTAACGTATTTCAGCTGCTTCTAGTTTTTTCCTTGACAACCACTTTTTCCCTTGGCGATTACATTTATTAACACTCAGCTTTGATTGATATGTAGGGTTTAACCTCCTTTAAACATCATATGATTATGAGAGACTCCGTAGTGGAGGACTCTAAAAATTTCGGCCACCTGAACTGCTTTAACGTAGTTCCAAATCTGAGCACTCGGGCCTACAGCATTTCCGCCTCCATCGGAAATGCAGCTGCCGCAGCAAGGATTTCATCCCGCGACATACGTGTCAGCAGCCGAATACCTTAGCCACTAGACCACCGCGGTGGGGCAAACGTGCAGCTTTAACGAGTAAGGGTAGCTTCTAGTGGAGTTGATAAAGAAAAAGGACCAGCAGACAACCTGAAAGTATGCGGTATATAAGCAGTAAACAGTCAGTAATACTTTTGCTGAAACTCGTTGTGGTCTCTAAGCTACAGATTACAACTTATTTTTTGAGTGACGCTAATCGCAGACTGAGAACCATCGTCAAGCACAATGTTTTTAGAAGAGTAGAAATGCGACGCTTAAGTTATATTGTTATCAGTAACACTACGTTGCGTTTTCAGTAAGTGTATAGATAAGGCTATAGATAAGTAAGTGTAAGATAAGGTAAGTGTGTTGCGATTTCAGTAAGTGTACGCTTAGATAAGGCTTCACTCAGAAGCCTGAATAACCAAAAATCTGATTAAATTCAGATGTACAAAAAACATACGCCTACGACGCGCCCATTCACATTCTTCGTGACGCACGAGGAATCTGCTGAGCGTTGATTGGGCACCCTTCTGTCATATAAGCAGTGACGTCATCTCGAGAAAACTAGAGGGGACTGGTCACGAGCGCCCTTCCAAATCATGGACTCTGTTGGAAAGCGGGAAGGTGGTGTGTTCGTTTTTCCGCGATCGTAGTGCTTATCTCAGATGTCAATGATAATTATGCAGCCTGTACAGAGAACTTGCTTTCAATTCTTTGTTAAGCCCAACTCGTTGATTCTTGATAATCTAAATGTAGCGCTAGGTATTTTCGATATACAGCGGTTATTCATCCGTCCCCGCAAAGGGTGAAGTCACGTTAATCTCATGGTCGCCCACTTCTTCCTTTCCATTACTTCGATGACGTCAGCGATTCCCCTCCTAACTACGTTTGCGTTTAAAAAAGGTAGTATTCATCCACCACGGTGCCACACTGGCTACGGTGCTCGGCTTCTCTGAAGGTCGCCGGTTCGATCCCTGCTGCAGCGGTCGAATTTCAATGAATGCGGATTGGTACAGACTCAAGCACTGTGCGATGTCAGTGCACATTTCAGAACATCAGGTGGCTGAAATTTCTGGAGACCTTCCTTACAGTGTATCAAATAATCATATCGCGGTTTTGTGACGTTAAACATCAGATAAGGAACGAGGTAGGAATGGTCATAGTTGTGGCAATATTGTTCTCATCTAAAAAGAGCATGTATACACATTCAAAGCGCTGAAACCTTTATCTCGCATCACATGTATTAACAAAATGCACCAAACACGATGATGGAATAAATAGTATAAACAATGTTTTTCCTTCCACGAAATATCCAGGGAGCTGCGGTGTCTGCGGAACACTATACACGTCAACCTCATGGTCACCTACTTCCTCATTTCCATCACGTGGATGACGACAGCAACTCTGCAGTCGGTTCCTTCACCTGCATACCATAAGGTGAGTTAGGCTTTCTGAGCGCACACAATTTTTTCCGTGTGCGTAATTTGTGATTTTAAGGCTGTCTATTTGTGCTATAGGATAAGAATCCTTGTGAGAGAAAGCCCAATAGCTGCATGCAGGATGTTAGGATCAAAATACTGATATAAAAAAGCGGAAATGACTAAGCTGCGCATTTTTTTTATGCTGCTGCGTCATGCACAAGATAGCAAACTCTTGTATGCGTATTCCTCGTCTCCAAGCCCCAGCTTTCTGTATTAGTAACAAACTTTCCGACAATTTGACCTTTGACCAGTGTATATGTCTGCCTAGCTGTCTAAGTCGTAATATTATTTAGCGCATACTGTCGCTTCGTGAAGCGTAAGTGCTCCAAGCGTTCTCTCCAATTCCTTCATGGATTCCACTGAACCAAGGCTTTACCGGTTTCGTCGTACGTAAGTCCAACTCGCATCAAAAATTTCTTCTGTCTCTTATTTTAGGGAGATTTGGGTGACAATAAAGACTAAGTCTGTATGCTACGGTGTTCTGAAATTTAGGCCCGTATTAGCAAGACAATCTGAGAAGTTTTCTGTAGCAGGTGCTGTGACTGCCTTGTCCCCGTATACCTAAAAAATTGCCCCGCGTAAGAGTTTCCACATGCTACCGAGCTAAAAAAGGAATAATCACCACAAAAAAACCTCCTCCCATAAGAAAAAAAAAGTGGTGTGACTGTCGCAAATAATCTCTCGAGCAGCGTGAACTTATGTTTTTTTTTTCATTCTAGAAACCTATTTTAATGATAATCAAATATTCCATTGAAATACAAAGGAGGGTTCCAAAAACCGCACTTCAATTTTTGTGTACAGCGACAGAATGGCAAATATGAACGTAAGCACATAATCATTTTTTACGTTGTCTCTAGAGTAGTCTCTGTTCGGTTGAATTCACGTAAGCACATGCAGAATTAACGTTTAGTGTTCCGACTTCGTCAACGTATATTTGACTTAAGTGCTGAGGGATTCAAAGTCATTGGCAAGCGTGTTATTACTAAGTGACAAACGCACGACTAGTCAGCGTGATAATCACTAAAATAACTTTATTGGCACAATTACGGCAAATAGGCCCCGAAAACGCGACAAGCGAGGGAAAACGTCTACAGCAACTCTGCAAAAAAAAAAAGTAAATCCGCTTATTTCTAAAGGCGGAACTGGCAAGTATGCCCAACGCATACATCGCGCTCACAAAGGTGTACGTGAGTAGATTGCTTTCATAACCTGAACTGGAAGCCTCCTGGTACTACTTTTCTTGATGAACTAGTTCGGGTTAGCACTGTCGTCAGTAACATTTGAAATACCAGATGAAAGAGTGTCGATTCACTTTTCGCTGGTATCTCGCCTTACCGAAGGGTTGTATGATGGAAGAGCCTGCGAGGTGTTACTACGGGTGCAGAAGTCAGTTTACTATAAACAAGCAGAAAAAACGTGCCACGCATTGCTCGCTTGAATGGTATTGTTCTAGCAAAACTTACTCTTCTATCAAAGTATGTTACCCATCGACTCAGTCAGATCTTCGTTCTCGTCATGGGAACGCATTACGTTTTCAGCACCATCCCTTCACGGGTGCTATATTATGCCAATGAAATGCGTGGTAAAACATTGACACATAAAAAAAACCGTGATGTCGTTTATCGAATTTTCACAAAGAAAGTATCTGCATCTAGGGCTTTTCCTAACAGCAAAAAACTTGGTAATATACTTTTTTTTGCCCGGTACTATTTCTGAAGCTTAGTTACTTAGTGACGCGGTTATTGTTTGAATGAGAATAAGAATGCGTCATTTGTTATATAAACAGCTTCACAATGCGGTGCATATTGTAATTTACCTCTTTACGTTTGTGATATGCATGATACACTTCGAGCAAATTCTAGTACGACAGCAGTGTCTAAATAGCCGTTTCGACATTGAGACGTTGATTTTCCTGTTTAGTGCTAAAGCATTCAAGTAGCATGAGTGTTGGTGTAGGCAGGCATTGTTTTATTTGGGACAAGTGTAAGTACCCTTCTGGAAGAAATTGAAACACTCGGCCTGGAAAGCAAACGACTGTCCTGCTGCAAATATTTATTTTTTATGAGTACGTTCATCACCTACACAGCCACCATTGCCTGAAGAATTGCTTTCGTAATGTGAAATATCTGTTGGTTCATGTCCCGAAACCACGATATCATTATTACGGATGCTGCAATAAATGACTTGAGAAAATACTATCATTCGATGTTATTTTACCAAGTGACAATTATGCTTGCGCGCAACGTAAAATCGATGCTCTTCTGTCACTGCGGTTGACGACAACCTTAAATAGCTGTAGCGGTTATGTCTTGGGATGGCGCTTGCAAAACGTGTCATCGCACAGCAACGACCATCGTCACTGTTCTGTCGAGGCTGGCCACCCAGACAACTGGCGTGTTCCTTTACACGCGTAATGCCAGGGATCCCAGCAAACACAGTTCACATAGGCGCACCGCAGGTATTTCCTGCGTTATTTTAACCCGATAGTGTTTTATTCCGGGATCTACCACGCCTCCGCGGACGTATTTCCGTCACGGATGTGATGTAACATATCTACTAACAGATTGAAAAGAAAAAGTTTCATCGGCCACATGTCGAACGTGCGACCTACCATTCCGCAGAGTGCGGCTCTCTACTACTACAGGCACGAACGTTGTCTAGCTTGCTAACGAAAACATACTTATAAGCACCATATACTGTCTGGTGGTCCTCATAGGCTTCGCAACTTCAGCGCGTTTTCCTCGTCAGCAGTGAGTTGGTGCGAAGATTGCGTGTTTGGTGCGCTCTCAAGGTCATTGCCCTTGATATTTTGATGCACGTGCGCCTCCGCAAGGCATGTTCTCTCGAGCGCCCACGTTTCTCTCGTAATTAGGGAGAGCACGAGGGTCACTTCGCTCGCTCCAGCGGTGGCGTTTGCAAAACAATTGCGAAAGTATTACCACGGTGAACTACGAAGTAGGACAGTTGTCTCCGCTTGCCCTGTGTATAATGTGTGTTAGTTTCGTGCATCGTTCTGTTTGAGGCGCGTAATTGCTGTGTCTAGCTTTGACAGTCGTTAGTCCACACTCACACCACGTATCATAGTTTCGTGCGTGCTTTTTTCTTGAGCTGCGCGCTCTAAAATTCGAAGTGCTTGCTTTTCCTCGCGGGATATTGCAATTTATAAATGTAGCATTCATTACTTCACCCTTGTGCCGAAACAGTGCACAAAACACTCAACTGCCTCTTTGAAGGCATGTCTCACTTTTGTGCTATACCAATGCCTAAACAGCAGCTTTTTTTGTATTTAGTGGGCATCTATACCATTCTCTTTAGACTCTTGTGCCCACACTCTACGCAAAAAAAACGGCCAAAACGGGATAAACAGCTGTTTTGGTCCTTCATACCAACTGTTTCTCCCCGAAATGACTAAGCAGACCAAGATGGCCGACATGTTTGAAAACGGGGGAGCAGTTGTATTAGTCAAAAGTTTGTAAGGGAGGAACGAAAGAAGGAACCACAGTAAATACTCTCGTCAAGCAACGGTTACTCCCCTGAAGGACACTGCACATAAATATGAAAGCCACCCACATTGATATTCAAGGGTCAGATTATTATTTTGTTCTGTGTGCCAAAATTCACAAAAGCAAAACAGTGATTCATTTTAGCATCCGCTGATGATGAAATAACGACGCTGGCTGAACTCCGAAAGCTTGAGATTACACCTACCGCAAAGGCTGAACACACGCAGGAGCAGCATAGAGAGAGCTGACACGTCAAAGCAGATCAAACGCCGAAACACGTTCAAAACAAGAGTAATAATAAAAAAACAAAGCCTAGACGCGCTGATTGTCAGCTAGGAAAGGACGTCAAAGCCAGTCAAACTCCGAAACACGTGCAAAAGGAGGCTTTAAAAAAAGACTGCAGAAAAAAAAAGATGGCAGATCCCACGTACAGTGGCAATCTATAATATGCGAAGCACTAATGAAAAATGTTGATATGCCACTTTCAAATCATCCCAACGTTACGAGGTAAAGGTAAATGATGACGTACATGGCTTCCGTGTCATGATTGTCATGTTTGATGTGTTGTTTACCTGCGTCATCTATTTAAGTCTTGCGATACCACATTTTGTATAAGAGGCTAGAAAAACGGCCGCGAGCACGCTATGAGTGTGGTATGTTCTCATGTTCATACATGTAACGCGTGTCAGGGTTATCATGTTTGCACCAGTCATATATTTCGCAGGTCGTGGGTTCAAATCCCGGCTGTGGTGGCTGCGTTTCCGATGAAGGCGGAAAAGTTGTAGGCCCGTGTGCTCAGATTTGGGTGCACGTTAAAGAACCCCAGGTGGTCGAAATTTCCGGAGCCCTCCACTACGGCGTCTCTCATAATCATATGGTGGTTTTGGGACGTTAAACCCCACATATCAATCAATGAACCAGTAATATATTTCGTCAGTCATCGACGTCACGTAACACCAAGTTTTGTATATGTGGAGCTAGAAAAAAGGCCGCGAGCGCATCATGAAGAGGCCAATATACTCCAATGAAGCTTTGACGCACGCGCATGCTGGGCACAACAACACTATGTTAGCAAAACGCGAGCACTTTATATTCTGACGCCAGGTGCGATCAGCGTCCGTCGGTGCGGCCCTACGGCAACCGGCGCGAAATGAGACATGCTTCATTTCGCGCCGATGTGTTATCCAGACAACACTTCGTCTCGCTCTTTTCGTGACGGAGGGACGCCGGACGCGCTGAAACGCGCATGCGTCAAAGCAACGCAACGCGGCGCGCGCCTGCAGGCATATGGCAGGACCGGTGCCTGGCGTGGCAACGCCGGCGTGACGCGATGAAATGAACACCGGCGAGCACGTGCACCACGTCACGTCGAAATGTATTGGCGTCTTGACTGTGACACGTAATCATGTTCTCACATGACATGCATCTCATGATTATCATGTTGACACCAATC